AATTGTGTGTTGAGAAACATTGTTTTAAAACTGTTGGGCTATTTGCCCACACAGTTTTTCACAAAGTGACCATCCTTTCTTGAGTACAGCTGAGCCTTTTGAGGATGCGGCTTACATACCTATTAATGGTATCATTTGTTACCAATTAACCTGTTTATCTATAGAATGTTCCAAGCATTTTTTTGTTGTTGTTGTTTTTTTGTTTTTTAACATTCAACAACCTCCCCAGTTTTTTGTTCTCCTGTACCAACTATTTTGAAACGAAGTCCAGCTGCACTCCAGTTAATATGAGGGCAAAGTCCTCTGAGTACTTAGCAGCACAAGGACCCAGGACTTTTACTGGGCCTCACTTATGCCTCAAATCTGCTATTCAGAAGTGCTTCAATACTTTTGTATGACATTCATGCCTAATCTTTTGTGAAAGTGCTACCTCTGAGGTTGCAAAGCACTCCCACATTGTCTTTATGGCTCAGGAGTTCATGTTACAGGAACTCTCACGTTTTCCAGTCAGCTGTTTCTCAGGAGCAGGGACAAAGTTCACAAGTTCTTAAGCCTGAAGTCAATACCGGGGTTTACCCGACAGAAATTCAATACATGAAACTAGGAGAGCTGTCTTTCAAATAAACTGCCATATAAAACATATTCTAGTCTTCTAACCCATACCACCACATAGACTGTATGTTCCTGTCCACTAATATGTACTCACAACAGCATTTCTTTAATTATTGCCCCTACTGGTGGAATAACAGAATTGTAAAAGTTTTGGTAACCTTCTAATTTTCACTATTCCACCCTATTTCACAAAACTACATTTTATACATTCATGGTCTCCAAATTAACATCTGATCATCGACAACTAGTGGATGAATACTGATGAATTTGGATTCAGATTGTCATGCTTCCTCAAAATGAATTGTATAAGCCCACTTTTGGTGACCCTCTGATTATATCTCTAATGCCATCGTCAGGTCATTTGTCCAATACTTTAATTTATGACCAAATACCTAAAGAACTAATGACATTCTCATCAGTCTCTGGTGTAGGCTACTTTGTGTTAAAGGCTCATGAGGGAATGTTAGCACGCTAACTTAGATTGTGAACTTAGTAAACATAATACCTGTTAAACATCAGCATGTTACCATTGCCATCCTTAGTATGCTGACATTACCATTTAACTTGCTGTGCCTGAGTACAGCCTCACAGGGCTGCTAGTTCAGCTTAACGCTACAGAATGTACTTCCTGGGGCAGCTGAAGATGTTCAACCTGCCAAAGACAATGAGGGTAAACTTTTGCACTTTTGCCATTGTTGAGTTCATCCTCACTTCCTCCATCAGCATCTGGTATACTTCTGCCACAACCAAAAACAAGGGCAGACTTCAGTGTATCATGCACTCTGCTGAAAAGGTGAGTGGCTGTAATCTGCCATCCCTCCAAGACCTGTATACCTCCAGCACCCTGAGGCGTGCAGGAAAGATCGTGGCCGACCCCTCACACCCTGGACACAAACTCTTTGAGACATCCTCTGTAGCAGGGGGCTGCGGTCCATCAGGAGCAAAACCTCATGCCTTATCAACAAGGCCCAGGACCCCCACTGACACTGACTTTTACCCCGCTACAGACACAACATGGATTACATTAATGCACATCTCAGACTTTTATCACTACACATTGCACATATTTGTTCTGTGAGCTTTTGCACATCCCCTGCTAAATGAAATTGCACATCCAGCACAAAACTGTAGGCTCTCTTATTCTGAAACAGCTGTATTATACATATTTGTTATGTTATAGCATCTTTGTCATATTTTATCTTAACTTTTCTATTCTATTTTTATGTTCTTGAATGTTGCAGTACTTTGCCTTAATTTTATTTTTCTTTATATATTTATTGTATGTTTAATGTATGTGCCAAAACCAAAGCAAAGTCATTGCAAGTTAAAACCTACTTGGTAATAAAGCATATTCGGATTCTGATTCATGAGCTTCTGAAAAGATTGTCCTCATCATTAATGGAAGCCAATACTGATTGTCTTGCCAAATCTGCAGCAACCATTATAGCTGACTGTAAAATATCTGTCAGTCAGTAAAATATATATATAGTACAGCAACGATTTTTGGATAAAAAAAAATTCCAAGATGAAAAATAACTGCTGACATCCCAGTTTGTCATAGAGAGAAATATTAATTTATAAGATAAAATATGGTACTTTTCAAAATATACTTAACAACAATTGCAGATTCTTTTCAGTGACAGTACAATGGCAACTAACACAACTAAGGTCTAAACCACTTATATTTCCTACAGCTTTCATCCATGCTGGTGGCCACCTGAGGGAAACCCAGAGGTGGGTAGTGTACTGAAAAGCTGAAAAGTACAACTACTCCCATAAAAAGTGTCAAAATTACCATTTAAGAAACTCAAATACTCAAATAAAAGTACTCAAAGTACAAGCTACTTTGTATTTTATTTATTTTTTTAGGAAGTGTAGGTCTTCAAAATAATGAAAAAAAAGAGCAAAGGCAAACAAATAAGGATAAAAATTAACATAGCTAATCTTAGCTAGTTAACTACATTTTTACCAACAACAGGGGTCTTCTACATTTTTCGGGCCAAGGACCCCTTAGCTTAAAGAGAGACAGAGCAGGGACCCCCTACTACATATATTGTATAAAACTGAGATTTACTAGAGATAATCCCTGAATATTTTTGGGTCTTCTCCCATTTGCGCTTGCCTTTAGCTGCTAAGTCAGCAGCAGTTGTGGCATGGCTAGGTGCGTTAGCTTTACCCTCTGCTTTCTAGGGGGTTTCTGAGGTGGACAATTTTCTGAGTCTCTTGCTTGAAAAATTACAAAATTATCCATTGTGGCTCTCAAATGTCCGTAGAGTTGGAACAAAAACACAGCTAACTGGCCAACACAGGGTATGTAAATACAAATTTTAGCTAACTAGTTCACCTCACCCTCATGGTTAAGTGCTGCATGGTAATTTAGCTTTAGCTAGCTCACATGATTGTTAGCCTTTCACTGATGCTATGTACTGTAAATTATAGTTTGTTTTTTTACAAATAGACTGATGCATCTTTGATGGAAATTAAATGATCAAACAGAAATTTGGTGGCCCCTCACCAACCTGCGGTTGAAGACCCAGAATCTACAGTAGGCCAGTAGGCCTATGTGCAGTTTACTTCAGTGTGCTTATGGAGGTTAGATGAAGAGTATAGGTGTTTCTAGCCCATTTTTGGGGGTGCTGAAGCACCCCTAAATTGAATCCCAGCACCCCTAAAATTTGAGAGATTTTTTTAAAATTTTTTTTACTGTATGTCCCTTTTTAACAAGCTAGAAAAATGTCAAAATCATAGAGTACTTGGTTGCAGCAAAATATTTTAACAACAAAAATACAGCTGCTGCCCCCCCCCCCCCCCCGCCTTCCAGAGTGGGTGATATGCAGTAGTGGTGTAAGTACCTGGCTTAAACCAGGATATGTGGCACATTTCTTACCTTCTACCACTCAGTACCAACACATTATTATCATTACCAGTCCTCATTTTTGCTGCATTTAATCGTAGGTCACTGTTTATGTTGTTAGGTAGGAGTTAGCTGACATTTTTCTAGCTAGGAAACGTTACAGGTGGTCAGTACCACTGTCCTCTGTTTGAATTGGAATGAGAGAAGCTAGCTGTTGTGTCAGGTGCATGTGTTAATATTAAAGCCAAGGTGCTACTGACTAGCTAACTGACTGGATGCCCATTAACATTATAACTCCTATTGTGTGTATTTATTATTATTATTTTGTAGATTTCAAGCACTTTTCTTTTTGTGTATTTTTATTTATGTATTTGTATTATATAATACAGACAACAAGGAAAAAGGCAGAGACAAACATTGAAAAAGTCCAAAAAATAAGTCCAAGGTCCATTTTTGGTATTTTTGGTACTCACTATAGGGGGCTGGTTTACTCCAGAACATACATACTGTTTATGTGTATGTTGAGGAGCTGCTGTATCAAAATGAGTTATCCTCCCCCAGAAATTAGGGTTACAATATGTTTAAATGTACAAAACAGTGAAATTTATCTTGCCTGGCCGGGCAGCTCTCTGGGTGCTCAGCACCCCTAAACCTCTGATCCTAGAATCGCCACTGATGTAACTGTTGTCCCTTTTAGATTTCGGTATAAAATGTGTCGTCAGATGTGGTCAGAGATCATTGGTGGAAGCTGCCTCTTGTTCTGGTGTTTGCTCCGTCATCATTGAATGATGGTCAGTAACCAGGTGGAGCTTCTTTTTCTGCCAGGCAGCTGTATCTTAGCCTCTGCAGTAGAGATTCTTCTTGTGCATTCTCCTCCCTTCACTCACCCCCCCATTTACAGCAAACTAGATATAACAATGATATAAATGGCAAATGTAGTCTGTGGTATAGTGGAGGGTATAAGTAGGTATATGATATGGGGTGTATCTCTTTTGTCTAGCTGTTTACAGTATACCCACCTGTCAGCCAAAAAGCCATTGGAATATGTAAGGGAGTACACCCACTTCCTTCTTGGTAACCTACCTAATGGTACACCTACCTCACCTACCTCATCAACTACCACTACACCAGTATAGTAATAGTAAAGTAAAAAGTAGATTACCGGCTCAAAACCATACTTGAGTAAACACTAGCTATAAGTATAGTTTTAAAGAAAGGGAACATGAGGAGTATGTCTTTCTTAAAAAGAAACTACTTTTTCAATTTAATTATTGAAACTATCTTGGATCCCTAGCTACATGTTTACACCATAGAAACTCTGTTGGTCTACATTATTATTATTATTACTATTATTATTATTATTACATGCAGACATCATCATGTCTGTTAATGATCTACCAAGATGTGAAACATGTCATATTTGCTCTGCTACATCTGAATCAGCTTCATCTGACACCATCATTTTCACACTGAAAAGATAACAAGTTACCATTTAATACAAAAGACAATGTATTTTCAAAATAAATATGTTTTAATACTTACACTAAAAACAACAAAGAGTATTAATATTGTAAAACATTTTACAGCACCAATAAATATATTAATGTGAAAATATACTAAAAATGAGTGACTGTACAAACTCAAGAAAAAGTCTGTCATTTACGTAAATACAAATAGAATGTTGTCATGATCAGAGGACTGGATAGGTGTGGGCACTGAGCCAGCAGCTGGGCTCAATGAACACACCCTCAGGCCTCCAGTTTGACAGTGGCAGCACAGAAGGGCGGTTCACATGAACAGCAGTTTCAACAGCTGGCACTAACAGAAACACAAGCAGGATATTCACTATATTCACCATAAATCTAAGTCTTAAGTCACAATCACTGACTTGAGTCTTGACCCGTCTCCTGACTGATCCTGACAATAATGTGCGAAGCATCGCAGGTAGTACAGTTAGGAGTTCACACCTTTGAATAAATAAGTTGTTTTACAAAAAGTTAGTGATTCTTTGCTTTAAATAAATAATAATTTCAGGTGTCTTCATATGGTTAACACACAATTTACAGTGTCCATTTAAGCGCTCCTTGTTTTCTCTGCTGGCCAGCTTTAGCTGTTGGTTACACACACACTGAAAGAAATTCTGATGAGTTACATGTATATACTGTTTTTCAGGTTTCAAATAGTAATATCAACATAATTTATGCTATTTTTCAGGATTGTTTTGGTTCTCTTAAGGTATTTCAGGGTAAAAATCACTCATATGAGCGGAAAAGTTCTTATTTCGAAGGCATAAATACTAACTAATACTTATGAGCATAAACAACGATTCTTGCACGAGTACCCTGATAGTTTGCAGCCTCCATAGGATTGAAACATGTCAAACCGAAATTATTTTTCGCATTTGTCCAATTTTTTTTTTTTTTCATGTACCGTTGATATCCAGCAGCCTCCAGATCAACTGTATCACATAATTGTTAATTTATTTTAAAAAATAAATTATATATATGTATATATATATACATATACATACATAATATATGCTAGCACATACTAATAACAGTGGTCTTTATGGGAGCAAATTGATGCCACATTTGTTTTCATGTTAAAACAAGAAACTTTTTTTTTAACAAGATAGTTTCAAGTTATAACACACCTTTTAGTTAAAAAAAAAAAAAAAAAAAAAATCCCTTCCTGACATGGCAGTTCTTCACTTCTGTAGTCCTTAACCTATTTAAATTTTTTTAATCTTATATATAACATCAGTATTTTTAAGTGTTCCTATTTTAACTTAAATGTTTCTTTGTGATTTACTATTCCATATATAACTTGCGACTTTATTCAGCATTTTCATTTCCCATTTTTTCTGGCTCATCTTTTCCTCATGGTAACAGTTTAGTAATAAAATAAATGTTTGATTTGTGGTAAGAGGCTGAATCCTGCTGAACCACACAACAGTGTAATACTTATTGGGGGTGGGGGTTATGGGTATTCGTGTCTGGGTAAAAGTCAGAGAAAACACTGTGCTAGTTCACCACCGTCAGACTGGAGGCCTCAGCCTAATTGGACAGTCTTCACTAAATTAGGTCTGAGCTGAGCAGCAGCAACGAGACTCCTTCAGTCCTCCTTATGACGTGCATTTGGGCCCACAAGTGCAAAACCACATGTCCCATCAACCCAGTCCAAAATGAAAAAACACCTGTGCTGGCGCATCATTCACGCACATGTTGGTGGCTGGGGTTTCTAACGGTCAACAGGCCCACCGTGATCCCCCTCCAGCTGGTGAGAAACACAGCTTTAGTTTAAATTTAGGAATGTCAAAGCATTGTCTTTCAGTCCTTTTTCCCACAAAAAAGGAGTCTACAGTCATACGTGTTCTCCATTCAATTTCCAGACAGACTGAAAACAATTGAGAAGTACAAACAAAAATAACCTTAACACTGCATATAAATATCAGAATACAGAATACTTAGGATATTCTATAAATTAGATGTAGTGTACTAGACAAAGGGATATCTAGTAAGTATATACAGATCGTTATGATAAACTGCTCTGTTGTGGATGCCTGACTATTTCTTTGGAACACACACAAAGGCATTAAATAAGGAAACTGGAAGGTTGTGGATTTCTACAGTGAGGTGCTGATCTGACCTGTGATCAGCTTGTCTAGTCACTTTTTGTCTCCATATATACCCACAGTAGTATCCCTTTAGACAGCCTGGTCTTGCAACATTTTGTGAAAGGAACACAATTCCTTAAAAATGTAAATAATAATAAACTCTGTGCACAAAAAGAGAGACAAATCATATTTCCCACCAGGGAAGGGTTACATGAAGGAGGCAGGCCCAGACACAGGTAGTGGTTTCATACCTTTAACCCTGATGGAAACTCAATCAACCTACCCTTAAATTTAACACTAACATTGTTTACTTGCCCACACTTGGGGATAGACCTAACCCTGACCCAAAATTGACTAAAATCTTATGACTTGCTAAAACTTCCCCAGCAGCTGAGCTTAAGTTTAGTTTTTGCCATCGTCACATAACCCTTCCGTGAGGAAAGAAGGTCATCTTCACATTATCCATCACCATGGCACATAACCTGCATCCACAGTCACTTCGGGAAACTCTGAGAGACGTTTCAGGTGTATTCTCACACCATGGTGTCTCAAAACTTCACATCATGTCACAGAGGGAAGCCGTTCTTGGACGTGCCATTCAGTTCAAGTACAACAGATGTTCCTCCACCTCCACCTCCTCATCCCCCCTCCGTCTCCTCTTATTCTCTTCTGTCGGGGCTCGGAGGCAAGTTCGGCTTCTGCTGCACCGCTCGTCGAAGTCACCAGTTTTTGTCACTTGAAATATTTAAGATTTTCAAATCCACAGCAGACCAGCATCCAGTGAAGTGTTACATAAAATAACAAATTTCTTCTATCAGATCTACTCACGAGCAGAACGCCATTGAAACATTTTCCCATTCACGCGCCAGTGGCGCATTCGTTTTGCTTAAATAATGTCTTTTTATGTAGCAGCAATACACATTGTCGATGTACTTTTAGTATACGTACATATATATTAATATCTTTAGGCGGAAAACAGACAGTGGCAAGATGTGCATCCAGAATGTCCTGTCTTGCATTGTCGTTCTGTGTCCTTGCAAGGAATGCATCCTCAGGTTTCAAAGTGCTGTGCCAAGAAAAGAATTCCTTCATAACAGTGTTGCTGGTCTCATCTCCTCTGTTTATCACATCTGTGGAGGACAAGATGAAACTCTGGTTATGACAAGCAGCAAATTTTGTACAGCCTCGTCTCACAGAGTATGATGAGCACGGTGTCTTACACATCTGCTCCATGCAAAAAAAAAAAAAAAGGGATTATTGCTAGACAGGAGTTGTGGGGTTGAACAGGCACCTAACCCCAGTTCCAGAGACCCCCCACCCTAAGGTCCCCTCCACTCCCTCTCCTGAGCAACCACTTGGAATCATGCTACTAGTCACTTTACCCAGACTTATGTGGCTCTCTAAATCTAAAGCAGAGTGGGGGTTCCTAGGGGGTCAGAGGTCATGGAAGTGGCTGGGTCAGGAGAGGTCGTGAAACCTTGTTAGCTAGGGGCTAACATCTCCAAATTGGTGATTTTCGTGCTTAAAAAAAAAAAAAATTTCAGTTTCTCCAAGTGGTACCTGGTATGACTGAGCAGTTTATCTTTATTATATAAGTATCATGATATAAGACTGGCTATCGTCCTAGATTTTGGATATGGTAATATCCTAAGTGTTGTCTTTTCCTGATTTAAAGGCTGCATCATAGTAAAGTGATGTCATTTTCTGAATTTACCAGACTTTTCAATTATTTGCCTTCACCCACTTAGTCATTAAATACACATTACTGATGACTTTATATTAAAATCTCATTGTGTAATTATGTAATGAAACACCAATAGTCAACCCTACAATATTGTCTCAGTATTGATATTGAGGTATTTGGTCACAAATATTATAAAGTTTGATTTTCTCCATATCGCCCCGCCCTATATCTATCTATATCTATATGCAAAAATGCTTCAGAGAAGAAAAAAAAGAAAAAAGAAAGACTCAAGGTCCATTAACTAACTTTTTCTTTTTCTTTTTCGAGAACTTTCAGCCGTCTCTCATGGTCTTCACCCGCGAATGGAGTTTGCTCATTATAAGTCTGCTGATGAAGACCCTGAAATCTCTGGGACTAAAAAGGTGATAAGTGAACTGTAAGATAAGATTTTTTTGTCAGGCTTCTATATCCTACACCAATGGTGAATTTTCACGCTCATGTTTAAAAAATAAATTTAGCAATTATCCAGATACCTATCTCTGAGATTTCTGCCTTCATCCCAATACAGTGGAGGTCAGTGGCATGACAGGTAACAAGGGGTCTCCACCGAGCTAATATGGATCTTAACCATTCCACCATCAGCACATCCTGAAAAATGTCCTTTTCATTCAGCTCTTATTCAAACTACTTTCTGCTGAAGGAACAGTCCCAGTCAATTCACAGTGAGGGCTCTGGATTGTTAGGACTAATGCTGAAACAATTTCTGCATAAAGATGGTGCTGTTAGGGATGCACAATATTGGATTTTTTGCAGATATCCAATATGCTGAACAACTAATTTGACTGAAAACTGACACTGATATTGATATATCCAATTTTTCCCTACCTTATTTTAAGTGATCATCAAGTCTCTTCTAATTAACATTATATTATGCATGCACACTCTTATCCTGATGGCTCACCACCAGATGGAGACATGAAATACACTTTTCAATGTATGTAATATTCATTTATTGTGAAAAATAAGAACAACTATGTTGGCTGATTCTGATAGTTCATTTTAAAGCCAATTTTGGCCAACACCAAGACATACCAATATTATCGTGTATCCTTAAGTGAGTAAATAAGCTTGAACCAACCCTTCCATGGGCTCCTCCTAAGTTTATAAACCATAAAACCCTATTGTTTACCCTGTCCTTTCCTTGGCTTTTGTCATCCAATTTAAACAAAGTCACTAACTAAACTAAGAAAATCTTTCTTACTTCACCAAAAAGATCACTGAGATACAAGATTTTCACTCAACAACAGCTTGTACTAATTAAAAAAGATAAAGATATAGCAAAATCAAACTGGAGATAACATTTCAGGTAATCTCTGAATATAGGCTGCTGACTGCTTCATTCAGATTGAAGTATTATGGGATGTGTCTTGGAGTTTCTAACCCAGACTTTTATAGAAAAAGTTTTAAATCTGAGCTGACTAACATGCAAGCAGTTACATGTTACATCATAAATATTCAGAATGTATTAAAACAACACTTCTGTTGTAATCTCAAGACATCACCAACACTTAAATCTGATGTGACTTTTGCATCTTACAAGAGACAATGCAAGCACAGAGAAGCGCAGAGCTGCCACATTCCCATCTACAAACACCAACACAACATCAAAAGCAGGGAAAAGCATGCATTCCTTAGCAGGAAGGGAATTGATCTTTGCAGGAAGCACAGAGATGGACGGAGAGATGGGTAGATGGGTGGAAAATAAAAGGGGGTTTGAGGGCTGGGATTCAAGACACGTTGTTTATCGTGTATGTATGGTAAACAAACCTGCAAGTTCTTTCGTTTAACTCAAGTTGCCTGGACTTGCAGTCTAATTGTGTGAATTTGCAGGAGCATTTACAGGTGAGAGGGTCCTGCACAAACAAGCGCTTTCTTCTCTCTGAGCAAGGCGCACAGTGGCTGCAAGGGAAGCAAAAAGGGAGAGAGAGAGAGAGAGAGAGAGAGAGAGAGATCTAAGCTATAGAGCGAATTCTGCAGAAAAAGCAGACACAGACACTCATGCAACATCCCTATCCTCCCCCCACCTCCTCACAGGCCAACCCACCCTGCACCAAGATCGCTTTGAAAAGACATTTGTTTACACACAAGACTGGATTTGTGGCTCAGATTTGAGCATAAAGCTTAGTATCATCTCCAGAAATGACACAGGGTGATACCCTACTCGTGTGTTTAATTGGACATTAAGTATTGGGCACCATACCCATGACTTTATACTAAAAGACCAATAAACCACTATCTGGAAATCAACAAATCTTCAATGGATACACCGTCCTACACTAGCAAAAATTAAGCCAACAAAGCAAATTCTGCTGTTGTTATTTAAACCTTACCTAATGTTTTATTTTTCATCCTGCCTTTCCCCCAGACATCAGATGTTTAACCCTACCATTCTATTTTAACAAGAACAATTACATCATATTATAGAAGTAAAAAGGTGATTTCACTGTCTTTAATATGCTGTAAAAATGTATGGGATTTCTGCTGGTGCAGCAATGTCACTGAGGCAGCGTGGTAACCCATAGGTGGCACACAAAGATGAAAAATGAACATTTAATAGCTTGACAGTGAGGTAGACACTATAGCTGCTGCAGTATCTGTTACAGTGCTCGCCATTGAGATGGAAGGTCACATTACAGACACAACAAGGACACAACTAGATATATAAGGGTAGCTGCTATGGGGCACAAAGGAACTATGCTTTGTCTGATGGAACTGATTTTGCTTTGCACAGCACATATCCAAGTTATTCTGTATCACCTTCTAGACCTCCTGAATAAAAACAGGAGCAGAGCAACCCAAAGCAGAATTTATCTGTGAACCTCTCAAGGCTACAATGCTGTTAAGCTATGCACATGTGTCGGTACTACTGCACTCAGTGCACTGTAAAAGGGGCTGTATGAGGTAGTTATCGAATAGGGAGTCGTTGAATTTCGCTTCGGGGATAAATAAAGTTCTTTGTAATCTATTCTATTCTATTCTATTCTAGTCAGTGTATTACCTGCAGCAGAAGTCAGTTGGCACACCCCTAAATACTGCTATGAAGGGGTCAGCAACAATGTATATCTTAGCTAACTAAAAAAAGTCCCACCTCAAAAAAATCAACATCAGTCTAAGTGTTCTCTATATTTAGAATATTTTCACTGCTTCACATGGCCACCAGATATGGATTTTGGATGTGTAACTGAAGCAGTTATATAGCTCCCATTGAGAAAAACAGTAATTTAGCATTGCTGGACACCACTGCCTCAATCAGTTAATTAGTTTGTGTTACTGTATGACTTTGTTTAAATGTGTTGGTTCAGATTCACCAGAGTCTCACAATAACACTAAATGACTAACTGATCAAGGCCTGGTGGCCTTGACAAGAGCATAGATTGAGAACCAAAGACTTCCCCCTTTGAATGTGCTGTCTGTTGGAAAGGTAAAGCGATGAAATGCTCTCAATATAGTGTACACTTAAACTAATATTGATTTCTTTTAGGTGGCGGAAATACATTTTGCTCCTGCCCCCCGTCCATAGCAGCACATTGCTTAGCTTTGGTGTCTATACTCATGCTGCTTCTCCAAACTGGGAGCGTGTCAACAGACATTTTCTGTATGTAATACAGTCAGTACATATACATGCACAATTAAGTGGTGCTACGGTCATAGCTCGACGAGGCCATTTAATTGGACTACTCTCCTTTTCCCAGTATTCAAGCACAGGAGGGAAATTGATTTATGTCCAACTACTTTACCATAAGTGGCGTATGACTGTATACATGCAGGAGTAAGTCAATGCCCGAGAGCATTATCCCAGTGTGTTAATCTGACTTTGAGAAATTTGATTTAGTATGATTTCAGTTGGACTAATATGTCTACATGTATTTTAAAAGTCTGGTTTAAGTCGGACTAACACAATATATCAATTGTCTCTAATGTCATATAAACATACTGATTGACTATGGGTAAATGCCTCATACAACCCTACTTCAAAAAAATCCAATATATCTCATTAATCAAGGGCTGCAGCTGTTGTGGTGATCTGTCATCTGAAACAGAAGGAAACATGACAACAGACAAAAGCCCCCACCAGAACGTAGAAGCAGGAAGCACTTATCAATGCAGCAAGGCCAGCAAAAAGCCTTAAAGATAACCATTTCCCACAGAGATAACATGACAAATGCCAATGGCAAAATTCATTTCACTGCCATTATAAATGGAGTGGAATGTTGTTGCAGATGTAAAACAGACACAACTAGAACCTGTATACAAAAAAGTTTGTTTAGAATATACCAACAAATAATTTGGTATCAGCTATGAAGAGAGATATTATGCTGATGCCAAGGCATACTGTAGCTTTGGGCCAGCCTAATCTTGCTGGTGTCTGTAGTTTTTGGCCCTGACAAACAGAGAGATGGCATGAGAAAGAGAAGAGACACCTGAGCAGATGCAGGGATTGTCATGCAGGGTTCAGTCAATAGCTGATAAAGCCAAACAGGAGGTAATCAACCAACAAAGCATCTGCTCTAATCGAGTCCCCTCATTAACAGGGGTGGATATTGATCCATAGGGCAGGACTGAGCTAACTGTATCTGGGTTTATGTTCCTGTAACTGACTGTATGAATGAGCACATCCTCTTTATAGCACCTCCACTCCACCCTGCCGCAGGGGAAACTGGCTGCCTACGTGCACACTGACAGGCAGACATTCAACAAGGCTGCATGGAACTCAGCTCACTTCAGCCCCAAGACAAACCAACTTAGTTAACATGATCCCATCTCTCCTCCACCAATCCATCAGCTTTTAACCCACTGAGTCCACAGTCTAGCACGCACACACTCCTCTTATCCAATTAAACAACCTGACCTACCCCTGAGAAGCCTCAAGACACACACTAACCGCCATGTATGCATATGTCAAACACACACACAGCCCTGTGTCAACTGTGACAGTGAGCAACTTCTCTCAATTGATGACAACGCCTCCAAGCTCATCCTCTATTTACACCACTAAAAATAAAAATAGGCTAACTGCATGACACCTGTCGCTATGATTAGACTGAGGGAGCCGCTGAGGGTCAGGTTTGTGACAGCAGTGTGTGGTCTAAAGCCGGCCGGCTACGCCTAAATCACTCACGCTGTTATAGTCACACCATAAAGTACTAAAGCAGCTGCCATAAAGAGAGCAAAGTGTGAGAGACCTGTAAAGATAGGATCTGAAGGCCGTGCGCTCTACCTCCAACATCCACAGGAAACAGGATGGGACACTTGTAAACTTGAAATGGATGATATACTTTAGGCTTCTTAAACTGTGGCTGTATGGCCACTTTCTGTTGAACTGAACTGAAAGGAACACAAACTGAAACATAAGATTTGTAATTCTGTGTAGATTAACCACAGCTTTAAAAGTTAGTAGTGTGTATTGAAACTTAATATTTATTTTAGAGCCTGGCACTATATCATAGCCAAAAGATAGATATATATATATATATATATATATAAAAAAAAAAATATATATATATATATATATTTATATTTATATTTATATATATATTGATGTTGATATGATGATGAGTTTCATTCATCCTGAGGTAGGCTATAAGCATTAAGAACCTTAAACCTTAAGGGTTAGGTGTTGCCCCACCCTGACTGGGAATTAAACCTCTGACCTTGCAAACCTGAGTCAGTAGTCTTAACCAAAAGTAATGGACCAAAAATCAGAAATATCCTGCTTAATCATTAGCCTGTAATTCATGTATAATCCATGTATTTGGGAAGGCTGCCATCACATAACCAATGTGCTGATGGGAGGAAAGAATGAAGTGGTGCCCATAAAGAGGCAGGTTGGGGTAGTTGATGAGACACAAAACACAGGACTTTGATTCAGGACTTTTTCCCAGGAGACTGGTATTCAGAACTTTCTGAAACTAGCTGAAACCGTGTTTCTTTTCTTTAACTAACCAAAGTAACTATACTTGCCTAAACTTAACCTACATAACTATATGTTAAGTACATAACATCATTCGTTGTGCACTTGTTAGATATCATACAAGCCGTTGTATGACGATAGGTTTGGCAATTTCACTTAATGGATGGGGAAAAGGCAACTAGATGGCATTGGAGAAAGCAAAAATGGAAAGAAATGGAAATGATTTGAGAGGTGTTCGGTTATTTACACAATATCATCATATTTGTATTATTAACATTATATCAGCATTTCATTTTTAAGTATCACGTCAATACCAGTATATCACGACAAGCCTCATTCATTTGGTACTGACCAACGTGTCCATAGACATGAGCTTCAACACTTGTCCAAAACTGAGAACTGGAATGAAATGTCTGCTCAGATTTGTTATTTTCTTATTCTTTGATCAAATAGTTCTTGATTCAAATCTTAACATTTCAGTATCAAAAGCATTCTAAGTACTAAATAAGGATCCAATTCACGCCCATATTGACGATAATGCTGTCACCACTGGATATTAACATTCTTCATCAGAGACCCTCACAGAACTGATCCTGACTTTAACAGAAACCTGATGCTTCCAGTGTCCAGCTAGGTACCTCTCGCCCTGCTCGAGTACAACAAGCCACCAAACCAAGTCAAAGACATGTTGCTGGTAGAAAACCCTGATTGTCTGTTCCACAGAAACCATTCAAAACAGAAGAAGACAGAACACGTACTTACTATTCTTTCTTTGCTTGAACATCTGGCTTCAATCTGAAAGTAAAAAAAGCAACATGCTTTAGTTTTTTTTTCTTATAGCACATTACTGTTATACTGTGTGTGAGGTCTGCAGTCTCTTACCTGCATTCACACTTTTGATGCTCTGTGAAACTTAAGTCAATAGTGTGTTCAGTTACCCTTGGTCTAAACCGCATTACCTTGAAGAGAAACAGAGGACATAATAAGACAAGGTTAAGATTAAAATGACATCAACATGACTTTTCATAACTTACAGTCTAAACACCACAGCCCTGATCACTCTCTAACCAAACAGCTCCAATGTCTGTGTTAGTCTATATCCCTATGCTTCACCAGCCGATGCCTGTGCCAGACACTCAGGCTTGTTGGTGGACAGTAGAGGCTCTGACAATACAGACATGGCTGTAAACACAGTGTGTCGATGTAAACAACATTTATGAGATGCCTCACTTTCTCCGCTCTGCTTCTGGACGGAAGAATGATGTCTCAAGAATTACAGACATACTAAACCATGTGGTCTCAAATTTCAGATTTTAGGTTTGACAAAATTGGATTAAAGTTAATTTTGGTATTTTACAACCTGGACCCTAATTTCTTACATGTTTTAAGTTTTTAGTGACTAATGAGAGCAACTATTTTTGAAAGCTGTCCAGTACTGAGCGAGAGCGCTGCAGCCGGTAGCTGCGAAAAAAGGCTGCAATGTAACTACTCTAGGTGTGTTCACATTGTCAATGATTATCCACTAAAAGTGCATATTTTTTGCCACTGACAGGCTCAGATTGTTATAAGAGGCGTCTGACAAGATAATAGAAAGGATCCCATCAAGAGACTTTTTATTAAAGAGTAAGATCATTTTGTTTTTTTCCAGAAAGAGCCATGTAATCCCACCAGACTCCATATAAATGAACAAGTCATTTTATCACTGTAAAACACTTCATTCAAAGTTGACAAAAACAAAGTAAGACTCACAAAAGCCACCTTGGTTCATCTTCCCACTGCTTTGACAATCACCATGGTTGTTAAAATATGCTGCTGTTCATGCTAAAATCACTGTTTATCTAAATGGAGCCTGGTATGTTTGTCAACAGCGATTTCAGGGCTGTGTCTGGTAAGAATAAGAAGGATCTTACTCTTTAACATAAAAGGCCTGTCTCTGTGGGGCTCCTTTCAAAAAATGTTCGGACACTTTGAATAACAATGAGCCCATCAGAGGCAAAAACAAACACTTTTAGTGGATGAACATTGACAACGCAAACATGCCCCGACTGGTTACATTGCGGACTGTTTTGCTGCTGCCAGCTGCAGCACTCTCACACAATACCGGACAGCTTGAGAAATAATTATTCCCATTAATCACTGAGACACAAATACATGGGAAATTAGGGTCCAGATTGAAAAATACCAAACTTACCCTTGAAGACCTCTTACTAGCCTTTTCTGTAATTCTCAATTTCATGGTCTGTATCAGTGTGTGGGATTTGCTCAGTTTTCATGGAGTCAGCTCAGTTGTCACAGTGTGACCTAGGTATGGAAATTCATTCACATGAGAACATACAACTCTATACTTAGATCATGTGATGACAACTGAGCCATCTCCATAACAACTAAACAAAGTCCATCTGCTGATGAAGACCATGAGATGCAGCTGAAAATTAATCTTGTGTTAATTTCATTTTATCAAACTACTATTTCATAACTGTCTAAGGATGATTCAGGTTTTTAATCAGTTAAGTTCAGCAAATTTTGTAAACCCACATCCCCTGGGCTCACCTGCAATGTGACATTGCGGGTTTCCGTGGGTACGCACTCCATCGCTTCGTCATTGCAGCAGCCTCCACAGCGGTTGAGGACCACACAGGAAGGAATGTAGTTGTGTTCTGTGTCCTCCGGATACTCCTGGATGATGTCCACCAGCACCTCCCTGGGCTTACACATGCTCTTGGTGATGACTTCTGTGAGAGGGATGACTGAAAAAAGACAATATTGATCATCATCATCATCATCTTTATAGCTAGTATGAAAAGTAAATAGAGAAGCTTTATGTAATAATGGATAGGCTACCTATCCAGCCCAACTTCTTGTCTTTTCAAACATTCACTGCATGATTTTTATTGCTGAAGAAGAGAGCACCTGTTCATCTTTTGCCAGTGAAGGGGCCACATTCATTTATTTCTTAAGTGATGGCCAATAACAAGACAAGCTTCAGAGAGATTAAAACAGCCTTAATGCTACAGAATAAATAGAAGGCTTCAAATACACCCTTACATACATCCAAATACATCCTAGATCCTTAGTGGTGATTGGCCCCCAAAATCCTAATCAGAGCTCCCTGATTCCAACCATTTGGTAGAAACGGACAAGTCAGAATATGCTCTAAAAAAAATTCAGAGTAGACGACTCAGGCTGTTCATGACTTATGAACATGTGAAAAGCTAGTAGTAAAACCTACAAGAGCAACAACAGACATTATTTCAGTAGCAATAATTAGCCTACACTAAGCAGCTCCACAGAAAGATGCCACCCTGACTGAGTTGGTGTGGAGATGCAACACTTTATCATATGAATGTGTGACCTTGTAATTAAATTGTATCTCTTTCTCTTCTCAAGTTTTGACATCCCCTCTGCAAAACTGTGGTACAACATGGCACATAAGCAATATTAATATTAATATTAGTAATATTTGGAGATCAAGACCAGAAAGTTGATAACAGAGTTTGTCAGAATGAACCATTTAATACCAAACTGAGACTCAGTGAAACTAACTGACTGACCTGCCAGCCTTCTCTGTATTCCCATTCCCTGTGCAGCCCAGAATAATCCATCTCACAGTCCATCAGACTGGGTTCCCAGTGACCCCTTGCTAACTCCTGACCTCTGGTCTGTCAGAGCAGGCACTGTGGCGCCAGTCTTCACCTCTGACATGTGACCCCCAGGAAGCCCACCCCTGTGCAGGCCCTGCCTCTGGACTAATGCTGGCTGACTGTGTGTACCACTGTGGGAAGTTTTAAAAAGTATTTCAACCATACTGTACGCTGGAAGTCACATTAGCTGTGGCATAATGAAGCAAGTTTAGAGATGTAGGGGAGAATACTATCACATCACAGTTGGAGGCTCTCTGCTAATACATCACATAATAGAAGTAACACAAATATTAATAAAAGCAAATATCCATTATGTCAAAGACTGACCTCACTGTAAGGACCACATCCATTTTTTCCCGATAAAAACTAATTTTGCAGTACCATGTATCGCTCCAGCACTATAAGGAATGACTCTGCAGTTTTGGCTCCGGTGACCAGGCCAGCAGACGTGAGCAGCTGAAACACTCACACCTGCTGAGTGGATTTGGTTCACAAGACAGTCAGCAGACAGTCTCACGTCAGCACACTCAGCTGCTTCACTCTGATCATACTCTACATGCTTGGTATCATCAGTAAGTCTAATGACAAGAGCCAAACCAACAGTGAGTGCCTCTTACTGACAGGTACTGTGTCTGTACCAAAGACCTGAAAAATCTTCCTCTTCTGTGCCATGGAGCTCCACTCTTGTCTACAAACTATTAAATACACATCATGAGTCACATTGTTGCACTGGGTGATGTCTTATTCACAATCAACACCGGCACTGGGTTTGGTCAGACAAAGAAAAAAGTCTTAACTCAAGGTCCACTTCTTAACCTTCTTTGGGGGCTTTTAACTGCCTATCATGGTCCTCATCATAATCAAATGACCAAAGTTAAATACTTAGGTCACATGATGAGTCATGAGTTTGCCAACCAATTTATTTTAAGGTAAATAATAATAATAATAATAATAATAATAACAATAATAATAATAATAATAATAATAATAATAGTAATTTTGCCTCTGGGCTGGGAGCCACAGACAGGGTGGAGAAGTCAGAAGTGATCATGAGACACACCGCAGGTTTTGATCTTTTCGTGGGATCTATTGTTGAAAAATAATCTGAATAAATCCTATCAATAATGGTGAGGAGCTCTAGCCTGGCGTGTCCAGACCCAATTCGCAAAACGCGAATGGGTCTGGACACGGACTGTACATTTCCTCTATTCCCGAGGGGCGGTATGAACAGCTGTCACCCAAAGTGCCCCTTCACGCAAATGGAAAGACAGAAAATCAATCAGAGTAAATGAAACGTGTGACGTAGGCTAGCACAACACCACTGTAAACAGACCAGCAAGCAAGCTGCAGTGGAAATGAGCTGTGATGATGTCTGGGAAAGAGTATTGCCATGTTTGTGGATTTCCTCCTCACTGTGGACTCCAAGTTGCATGGCTATGATTCCCAGCTTGGTCGCTTCCCTGACCTGCTCCTCCATGAGAGCAACTAGCGGAGAAACAACAATAGCCACTGGGTTTTCACTGAGTCCCATCTTTTTCCCGATCAACGGAGCCATTTAGTAAATTAAACTTTTACCAAACCCCATAGGAAGGACGGCAAACACATCCTTTTTTTCAATAAAAGCTTTCAGTGCAGCCGTTTGCTCTGCTTTTAAAGAAAATGTACATTCCAGTTCTTTCAACACATTTACCATCGCAGTTTCAAAATCATTAATCATGTTGGTTGTTTACGAAATGCATTCACTCCGCTCCTTGTCCCTCCTATTCTGATGATGTGATTTCAAATAACCCGCCCCAAAGTAATAAACGGTTGTGATTGGCCCGGTAAGCTTTAACCGATGCCAGAATGTGCCTTTATGATGGCATGGCCTGACTGATCTGCGGAGCGAAATCGAATATGAGCTCGCGAGATTAGGATGGTTTCACCAGGCTAGAGGAGCTCTCCGCCAGGAGTAATCAGGCCTTAGTCTTATCACAGTGCATATGACAGCTTTTGACAGGTGGTGTGATCCCTGACGTATGTGTATGTGTGTGTGTGTGTGTGTGTGTGTGTGAAGGTCAGCAGCGTGCAGATGACAGACTTCCTGCTCCTCTACTAACACTAACAACCACCACAGAGCCTGTCCACTGATGCTGTTTGTAGTGACTAATCAGCATCTTCATCCATCACAAAGCAGCAGGTCCAGCCTTGGCTTTAGCACCACACAGTCACTGTCAGACAAACATGGCATTGAACCGAGGCTGACTGTCTGCTCATTTACTGACTGGTTTCTTCCACCACAGACTGGAGGGAAAAACAAATGCACACAAAAAATTCAACAACTGCAAATTATTGTAAAGGCACTCACTGATTTCCGCCCTTTCTCTCACGTTATGTCTTGTTTTGGAAACTGCAACACTTTTATGGCGACTCCAAAGTCCCAAGTCACACCTTTAACCGCTGACAACTTTGATGGGGGGTTAAGATAGGCTATGTTTATCACATGTCCACTAGGTGGCCCTATTGTCATCTGGCCTGCACACAGAGGTCTTTATATTAGACTAAGAAAACTTACCCTCATTTTTACTCTTCTCCACTCCCTTGTTAATGCTGGCAGTCTGTAAGAGATGCACATCAAACCAGGTGTTAAATATTTCTCATCTGCATGCAGCACCGCCTCCATAAACATTTCATCACTTTAAAACAAATCCAAATCATCTGCCTCGTTGGCTTTTAGTGAGGGAATCAAAGTAAGTCAAGGTTTTTATTTTCAGTTCATTGCATCAAAAAAGTGTGTGTGTGTGTGTGTGTGTGTTGGGGGGGACTTTTTTAAAATCGTGGGGCTGTTTGTCTGACACTGTTAAAACAGAAGAATAGTGATATTTCATAATAATCACTTAGCTCTACATGTCTCATTTAAAATTTCACAAAAAAAAAATAACTTGCACAAACCAGATCCTGTAAAAACATTAAAGACTGCGCTCCTGCATGCTTAACATATTTGAATATTGAAAAATATGGTAATATATTTAGGGAGGGTTTTGTGTTTTTTTCCAGTCACTCAGGGAGGCTCATAAAAAATCTGTAGCTTCAGGAAGGTCAAGATAAAAATTTAAATAAAACGACAGTTAGCAAAATAAAAGTGTCACAAGAGGTGTCAGATACAAAAAACGTGTTGTTTTTGGCCCTACTCTCTAATTTTATCTCTGCTTGCTGACATGTGCAGACGCATCAGACCTGTCAAGCTACAAACACGCAGTTGAGGAGCGAGGCAAGTTTACCTTCAAAATAAAGGCCCTGCAGCCTGTTGCTCAAACAGTTTAAAGTAGGCTGTTAACTATGAAGAGCTCAAAATGAAATTTAAATGGAAAGTCTGACTGCTCACAATAATTCCATGCTTTCATTAGTTTGAGCACTTTAAGATAAAAGCAAAGAGTCACAGTAGTGTTCCAAGAAAAAGAGAGTGGGTTTTATTTAATAATGCAGTCATTTCACGATTCACTCAAAGCCGTCAAATAGCTTGAATGAGGCTTGGTTTTATTTTGAAAGGAGTAACAGGAATCGGCTTTTGTTTTGATAGTAAGATGACGTGACGAATCGGTATCCCTGGCAGACCTCCGTTCACCTTGTCTGTCTGCTGTAACCGGTGGAGATATTGCGTGAGAAAGCGGTTCGGCCTGTGTGGGGACGAGGTGGGCATCCTGCAGGGCGGCAGGACAAGAGGAACCGGGTCTCAGCCTCCACACACTCCCGATCGCCGTGAGAAAAAAAAAAAACTTACTGGGACTGAAGCCTGCGGCTGAAAAGCTGAGAGGACTGACTGTACAGACTTTACACTGCACTTCGAGCTGTACTCAAGGCGCGTCACGCAGAACTCCATTCAGAAATCTAACAGTTTAACGCACACTATCCGGAAACACTGAGCACGTTAACAATAACTGAGAGATTTTTTGGGATTTTTTAGGGAATTTAGTCAGTTATTATTCAATCCGGCACGGTAATAATCCAGCCACCAGCAATCATTAATCATAATTCACAACTTTTATGACTTGTTCCCGCTTTCCATTACATCCAGTTTAGTGAGCCGCGCAAACCAATTTTTAAGCTTTATTTCTAATCAAGTTAGCACTCTGCGGAGAACAATTAAAAAAAAGTTTTACAGAGTCAGAGGACACTCTTATTTCTTAAAGCGCGTCTCTTTGTGTGAACCATATAAAGCACATTTTACCTCCCAGTCTTCATTAACAGAATCTGGCTTTGCAATAAAAAAGACAAAATAAGACAAAGGCTTTTGCATAGAAACAGACAGGAAAATGATGATAGTTCACCAACATAGGAGCTGGGATATTTGGCTGATAAAAAAAATATTCATACATTTCCACATTATACTTTCTGATATTAGAACTGGCCAACACTTTCCCTGCAGTATTGTTAACTAAAGATGTGAGAGCACAGTTTTCTTTGCGTTTAAATGTAAAATAATGAAGGATAGGGCCTATAGAAAGCTGTTCATGTTTGCCGGCACGTATGAAAGAGAACAGACCTCCCTGTCTGATTATGAATAAAAACACAGAGCATATGCTGACTCACCTTTACAGTAGGTAGGTGGAGAACCGCTGCCAAAAGGATGTGTACCAAACTGACAACAAAGTTCATGGTTGTAATTCCGCACGATGAGTCTTCAAATCTCTGTGGTCGTTTAAGAGTAAATAATAATAATAATAATAACAATAATATTAAATATTAAACAGCACGCACACAGTCAAAAAATGAAAAATGAATATTTCAAAAAACCGCGGCAAATCTTGGCTATAGCAAAAGCAAATCCATATCTTCCACACGCATATGGCACGTTCACAGGGACCGTTCCAGTGTCTCCCAGCAGTGCTCCGCTGGAAAGCTTACCATCCACAGAGCCTCGCTCATCCACAGACAAAGACACTATGATGGGTTTCAAAATCCACGCTGGAGCCGGGAGCTCAGGAACACAGCGATCCTCCAAAAATGACAGGAAGAAATGTTAGACGTGGAAGCGGGAGACGGGCGGGTCAGCTCATCAACTTTACGCACCGGTGTCTCTTTACGATCATTAATCCCACAACATGAAGGTGTGTGTGTCTGTGCGCGTGGAGGGATACAGCAGGCACTGTCTGCCGGTATGAAGTGTTCCTCTTGCTCTCTTCCACAGACCTCCCTGGTATTGTTTCTTCTTCGTTCCTTTGCTGTGCCTCGGTTTCTCTTGTCTCTATAAAGCTCTTCGGTGGAGCATTGACAGACAGCAGCTTGTTCCCCGCACAGCAGCGGTACCAGTCTCTCTCGCGTTCTGTCTCCTCTTGGTGGCTGCTGCTGTAGCTCATGCGTTATTAAGGTGGCCCGGCATCAGCAGCCAACAGGCCCGCTGCTGGAGGCGGGGCGGCCGGCACGAACCAATGGCAGAGGGGAGGAGGGGGGACCTTGATCGGACCTGTTGTACACGCACACACGGGAGAGGTTTCCACTGATGACGTAGCCTATCTTTTAATGAAGGCTGTGTTCATTGAAGCTGTTGGATGTGGTTGGTTTATTTTAAACATTTCAGCTATGTCTTGGTTGAGCATGGAGTTATTTGCTGAACTGCGGAGTTGAAGACTGTATCACAACAAAACAACAACAACACCAAAACAGCTTGAGGCACTGAAGATCATCTTCACAGGACAAAGACAAGAATAGTTTACTACATGTCTAAGAATATTTCAGAACAGTGACTGTAAATACAGACCCATAGCCTACAGGTTAGTGTGTATAGCTGAAATATCACATTCAGTGTGTTATGTAAGCCGCACAAGTGATGTTAAGTCCTTAATATACAGTTAAGTAATTAACATGAAGTTATGGAGGTTAGGTTTCAGGTAACCTGATTTACAAAAGGAAAAGAAAAAACCTGATTAACCCGATTCAGGTTAACATCTTGGTCCCCACTGGCAGCTAGAGGTTAATTGTTGGAATAATGCAACTACATCTCCTAGTTTTTCATCTGGAAATTCCTTTATTTAACATAGTTTGTCACCAAGAACAACACTTATATTTTCCTATGGAAATGTGAAAGGTGTGACTTGTAGTCAGGCTAGCCATTAGGAAGTATGGACAGGGGGACATTTGCCAGAATGGACCACCCTTCCACACCCATTGTGAGGGGGGTCAATATACAATCACTAATCACTGATGAATGAATGAATGAATGAATGAATGATTAGAGAAAAGTAAAATCAAACACTGACTGAAGAAATAACTGCAAGGTATTACATCAGATGATCAAATCTTTACTGAAAAATGCTACTTGAATTGAATATTGGTCAAATTGTGTGCAGAACTGAAACAGTATAAAGAGTATATGGCTGTTGTCAGTTTTAAAGTTATAGCCACTTTATGCAATTCCTAGACTGTTCAGGGACAGATCATTTTGAAAAAGGCAATATTCCCTTTTTCTTTGCCAAAATTTAGTGTAAGTTTGGAATGTTTTTTGTTCCCCTTCCAACAAGATAGCATAATATGGTTATTACTAGTGGATGCCATATATCCTCTAGTTTAATAATGATAACTGTGTCTTCACTGTAGCTTTAGAAGTGAGCCCGATACAGCAGGTTTTATTTGCGCCTCACTCTTCAACTTCAGTTCCCCCTGTCACACCTGGTGCTTCTTCAAACTTCTTTTTTGCCATGGCCACTCTGCTCCTTTCATTTTCTTCTTCTCTTTACACACCAGATCTTTTTTTAAGCAGCCCCTGAGTTTTGGTGAGGCATTCTGACTTAGCTAATCAGACAGCAGTCAGCCTGACATGTTTCTGCAACATTTCACAACACCTGTATAGGCTGGGAGTATCAGACAGCACACTGAAATGTGTTTTAATGATAACAAGACATTCATTTATCATGCAAATACTTATAACTTGTGTTGTCAGTGATTTAAGTCAATAAGTAAATTGTTACCGTAGACCTTTTCATAGGCTGCCTCTTGGCCTTGGGCCGCGGTCATCTGTAGCCTTTGACCCTCTCACCCCCGCGACGGCAGGCTTGCTTGTAGTGACAAATTCATGGAGAATTATCACCGACCCTGTAGTTCCCATCCGCTCTACAAAGCTCTTTTAGCGTGCTTTGGTTTTATGGCACACTACCTGCTCAGTACAACAAAATATCAGTTACACAGTTTTACACAAGAGCTTCAAAATCACAATGACAAACAAAGCATTGCTGCTATTGAACTATAAATACTGAGATGGTATTTTGATATTCCTGTATGCATATTTGCCCTCTAGTGGCCTTTCGGGATCCCAGCAGTGTGTAAACCAGCACACTGAGGCAGCATCATATGTAACACTGCTGACAGTATGAGGGGGTTCCTCTGTGAGCATTAGTAATCATTAAGTTAATACCCTTTCCTTAATAGTGACCTCATACTCTTCCAGTAGTAAGAGAATTAAATTCCAGCTCACAGAACCATCACTGTTTTCTGAGAAGCCCTGCCCTTTGCCTTCCCATCAAACTGAACTGTCTTTCACTTTCACTGTTGCAATTTGATCAGTGATATACTCTCTGTTTCCTCAGCGTTTATTCTGGAGGTTGAAATGACCTTGCACGTTACACCTGACCAAGTCTGAATGTTTATGGCTGTTCTGAATGGCTGCACTAAAATGTACCAAAAATTCTGCCACCACATCAGAGTCAGATGTGATGAACTGTACAACTGAGGATAAGATACAGACAGTGTCTTCTCCAAGGCATTCATGTTGTCAGTCCTACACCAAAAAACAGAGGCGGGACGAAGTTGTGTTTTTGCAAATCGCAAGTAAGTCTCACATCTTTGCACTCAAGTCCCAAGTACTTTGAGTTTAAAGTCCTACACAAAACATAATGTGTTCCTTACCAAATGTAATGCCATTTTAACAACAGAGTAGTAATATATTGCATTTACAAAAAACATGAATGTTTTAAAAATGTGCATTTATGTCTTAAAACAAGTTTGTTAGAAGTTGTTGCCTCTCGTCTGTAAATTTCGATCCACGTTTTACATACTGCAGGTGGATTTTTAGTTACCACCGAAATGTTTTTTATTTTTTCAAAAATGATCTTGATCCGGTTTCATTTTTTCTAAGTGGCGCTCAGTAATGTAAGTTCTTCATACTTCACTCCTGCTATGTGACTGGATGCTGCTGGATTGGTTAAAAAAAAGTGAATCTGGGAATTGAAGTGTTGACTTGTTGGAAATGAAAATAGTTAAAGGATAACTTCGGTATTTTTCAACCTGGGCACTATTTCCCCATGTGTATGTGTGCGTATGATTCATAGGTACAACTCGTTCTAAAAATGGTTCAGTATTGAGGGAGCCAGCAGCCGCGAGGTAGATATGGGGGCAAATGCATCCCGTATAAGTTTGCGCATTAAAAGTGCTTTTTTCGCCACTGACCGGTTCAAATCGCCAGTGCTATCTCTGTAAATAGCATACTAAGCATTTCCCTGACCCTTCACCTCTTCCTGGCCATGACGTCATCTCGCGAGAGACTGCTTGTTGACGGAAGAAAGCAGGGTACAATATATAAGAGGGCAAACTATGCAACAGTAAATGTGTGTCTCGGAGACAATTCTAGGTATCAGTATTACATGCATAAAGACATATTAGTTATACTTACTTGATGGATAGTTGACCAATTGGTCCCTGTGGTTTTGGCAACCTCCTCCAAATTATTTTGGGCACATGAAAAAAGGTATCCAGCACTGCCCTGTTGATCAGAGGGGGGAAATCCTCTAACGTAGTTACACAGCGTTAGTTTCTGTATCATCCCAGGACACATTGAGACCATGAATATTGGGCAGCAGGTCCCACTCGTTGCAACACAGACATTCATACGCACACATACACATGGGGAAATAGGGCCCAGGTTGAAGAATACCGAAGTTATCCTTTAATGTTAGTTGATTCAGGAAATGAAAAGATTTGTGGCACGATTTATTATTTATGTATGTATTTAGGTATGGAGGTGGGTGTAGTGGATGGTGTGTGGGCAATAGCAGTTTGACATCAGAGACTGTAGTTCATATCCTGATTCCAGCCTGTGGCTGAGGTTGATTTTAGTGAAAAATGGTGGTTTCAGTGAAATGTTAAGAAGCACGTTGTGTGTCTTTCCTCAAGTCACTGCAGACTTTTTATGCCTCAACACCAGCAACAGCCATGGCCAGGGACATTATATTTTTGGGATGTCAGTCAGTCCGTCTGTCATGCACTTGGGACAGTGCTCCTGTTCACAAGCCAAAAGCCTCTGTGAGACATGACTGGCTGACGGGACGCACAGAGCAACCATTTTCTTGCTTATCTTCTGATGACATTCTAGACAAGCCTTTCACCAAAATGGACAATTAGAAGAAAACAGCCCCATCTCACAGAATGTGAGATGGGGCTAACATGTATTAAAATTGCATGCACCATGGAAATAGTGCCAATGGAAAGTAATTAAAAATTGTTTATTGCGGTGATTGCACAATTTCCCTGATTTAACAACATCATCCAGTAGGCAGTGGGGAATGTTTTAGCCCTATTGGTAGTATAAAGAAGAAGAAAGCAGCATTAGATGGAGAAAAATTCTCAAGTTGACTTTTCTTTTTTATTCCAGTCTGCCCCTTTGTCCTAGCCTGATAAGACCATTCTGATGATATAAGTTCAACATTCTGTTTCCCTCTTTGTATCAGTCTGGACTCAGTGCTGCCCCAAAACACTTTACAGAAATTTAAATCCAACCGGGGCCAATCAGGGATGTGCATTATAGTTGACAATTAGTTGTTGTAGGTGATGATATAAAATGAAGGCTGCAGTTTGAAGAACAGTAATGGCGGCTCCCGGAGCAACAAGCGCTAACTCTGATGTTCATAGGGTAAACACAGAAATAAGTGTGTTGCATAAGTTATTGCAGAAATCGAGTCAACAACAACAATTAAATCAAAACAAGAGTATTCACCTGCAGAGTTTCTCAGAGGAAAAGACGTTTTCGTCACTCTTCCAACTGGATTTGTCAAAAGCTTGATTTGTCAACTGGCTCCACTGGCAGGGGTGGACAGTCACGAAGTACATTAACTTCAGTACCGTGCTTAAGTACAATTTTTGAGTATCTGAACTTTACTCGACTATCATTTTTTGGAAAATTATTACTTTGACTCCACAACACCTGAAATAAAAATATTGTACTTTTGACTCCACTACATTTCTAAGAAGGCCCTCCTTACTTCTTACATTTGCTTTGAAGTCAGGGGATGTTCTTCTTTTCTAAAATGCGAAAGTCCATAAACTGAGATCATGCAGTTCTGCATGTGGTTTGTT